TTTGACCGGCATTTACAGTTCTTCAGGGATAGTCAATGAGCTTTAAAAGAGGGTTGTCCGATCATCCTTTGTCTTTTAAGCGTGTTAACGTTTTTAAAGGGCTATTACGGGTGCGGCGTAATTCTCAACAGGACTTTCAAATTTCTTTATTGACCTTTAGCTAGGTTTTAATCACCGTCAAAAAGTATTAGGTTTGGTATCCACTGCTGAGAAAATATACGAGTAACATTGTCAAGAGAATGCCGCTGCACCAACCGCGTCGCTGAAGCAAGTAGAAATTTGATTTTTCAGCTACACGATTCATTTTTTAAGCGGCGATGTGATCTTCGATGCGGCAGAGCGCTCACTATTTTCCCGACAGACTGATGGAACCCGAGAAAACAAAATCTTGGACTTCCCCTTCTTGAATCTTTTTTTAAAATTTCTATACGGTAAATTTTGCAAAGTCCGTGACAGCTTCACAAATATGTCAATGTCCGATGTTTCATTGGAGCATGTGAATTCCATTTATTTTGAGCACAAACTCTATGTATAGGCTTGTTTGACCAGACCTCAAAACGATCGCGATTTTATTTTACCATACGAAATGGAAAAAAAACATTGCAGCTGCAAATACAGAGAAACTCCTCCAAAGCTCAACCAGATTACTTTGCTGCTACGTAAGAAAAACGCAGACTTCCGGTGTTTGACTCAGCAAGTTCACACAAAAAAGTTAAACGGCCAAAGACCGGAGCAATGTCTGAAATTCGAAGCGAAACATTACATACATTTTGGACCAAAGTTTACTTTTGCAAGCCGTTCCCGGAATATGACGACGCTCAAATCAAAATTTACGGTACGGACTAACAATTTGTAAGAGTGCAGGAAATTGGGCAAATATTCGACATTTAATGGACCAGTTCTTTTTTGCGTGGGTCCCATTTATTTTTATACATACATGTAATTGAAGGTCGAAAGAATACTGTAGACCAATTTTTGAAGGACCTTTAAACTCACTGAGTCACTAAACCAATTTCCAAAGTCGAAAGTACGCTGAAGTCTGGGTTCAAGTCAAGTGGAATTGAGAAAATGAACGGCTGAAGTGGAGGCTATTTTTAGAGAATTCTATGGTTCAATGGATTAACGTGAAATTTCAAAAGTTTTGCAACTTCAAAGAAGGAAATGCCAGTGGGAAAGCGTAGGCGAATTTGGAGTGCAAAAGATTATTGGAAAAGCCCAGAAGAATCAGAAAAAATTAATAAATTACATTAACAATAAGCAATTGTTTGTGAGTGAAAGGCGTTTTTGGAAAGGTCAAAATTCACAAAATATCAAACCGTGATTATTTAAAAAATTTTTTTTATTTACGGAGGAGGAGCTTACATGACAGCTCAAACAAATAATCTAATACAGCGGAACCTCTGCACCGCGAACTACCGTATGCGACACCTTTTTTATAACGAACAAGTTAGCTGCTATAGGCAACAATGAATCTCCGTACAACGGGTTTCTGTACGAGCTGAATTGTTGGTCCCTTACGAGTACAGAGATAGGACAGTAACTTGCTGCCCGTTTATAAGGAAAGTCTTCGAATTGCAACAGATTTTTTATATTTTGTTTGCGCGTGCACAGGCCCTATCAATTGCCAAGAATTTTAACTGCCAATTGGCAGAGGTCACAAAGTTTTATAGGTCTGCCGATGAGACATCACTATACAAGATGAGAGCGAGAGCAGCCCAAAAAACGGTGGCTAAGAGTTACCGTTGTCTCTGCAGGAAGTGCATATTCCTGGAAAATTTCAGTAAAAATTTTTGCCATCGTTCCTCCCAATTTCGAGAGCCGCGGAACGACCATATTCCTTGTTAGTGCTGCCTTCGATGTACCGTAGTCCAAAACTGTTTTGTTTTTTCTTATACATATATGTATATTCCTGCCAAATTTATCCAGTCCCATATGGTGTATTTGCTGTAATATTTGTAGAAATACATATAAAAAACGAAATTCAAATATTCCGTTCACAATATACTATAAAAAACAGCATTGTAACACATACCCAACCTCCCTTACTAGCCCGTTCGTAAAGTCGCTGGAATGTTTTCGGCGACATGCACCCCGCGAAACCGAAAGTTCACTTTGCACTGTGCAATTTTTGGCTTTTTGCACAGTGCAATAGGCTTTTGGGCTGTCGCCCGCACCCTGAGTTTTCGTGCACAGTGCGCGTCTCCGAAATCATTCCAGCGACTTTACGAACGGACTAGTACAAACAACCCTCATCAAGTGTCATAATCAGGATCTTGGACCCCCTCAAAGACAAACGCACCCTCCGGCGAACGGTGTGGATTTCCCAAACATCATAGAATATTCGAATGGCGACAAACATCGCGGCTTTGCCGGCGGTTTTCTGCACTAAGAAGACCACACTCTGTTTGTAGTTTATACTACTGTCTACATTCGGATTGATAGACGGTTTTGTGATAGGTTTCATAGAGCCCCCTTCAAATTTCTGTGCGCCTTCTGTGCATCGTCATGCACTTCCTTGTTACAATCTCACATTGTCAGAGGTTGCTGATGGAGCGGAGCGTTATGAAGGATTGGCGCTCAGAAGTGTCGTTATTAGTAATGGGTTGTGTAATAAGACAAAAATTAATAAAGCTGTTTACATGCAAAGATTTGATTAAATTCTTTTTCGAGCGGAAAACCATACGGTAGGATGGAGAAATTGTAAAGAAATGAAAAATAACAAATTATTGAAGGTTTGCAATTGTCGAAAAGTGGGCTATTCCCATTTTTTTCTATAATAATTTCAAACCAACTAACCTACATTTCAAAGTATATAGTAGTATATAATAGTTGCACTTCTTTGCCAAGATTATTTATGTTTAACAAAAGGAAACGTTTAGAGGTCGAATAAGAGAAAGGCTTGGCAGATATCATCAGTACCTCGAATTCCCTCGATAATTTCTATAAAATTTCTAAACTAAACATTGATGACTTTAGTTCAAAGTTCAGAAATTTACTGTCTACGACATGTGCGAGATTCCTGTTCCCGTTTTCAGAATGTGCGCAGATTGGGAAGTCGTCAAAGATTTACGCCTTTAAAAGTTTGCAATTAGTGGAGCAACGTGCAACATTCCGCAGAAAACGATTTTTTCTTAGCAGGCGGAAAGGAGTTGGCGAAAAAAAATCTTCCTTTAGCCGAATCTCCTCATTTTACGTGCCTTCTTACAAACAAGACCTTTCAATAATTCGGCTGCCGCTGAAAAAACATTCAGTTCTCCAAGGACTGACTTCAAGCTAGCTTATCAGTCTGTCGGCAAAATAATGAGCGCTCTGTTTTCAATGGAGTCGCTGAAGTGAAGAGCAATTTTATTTTGCTGCGGCAACTGATTTTCTCAGCAGTGATGTCATTATGGATGCAGCAGAGTGCTGATTACTTTCCGAACCACTGATAGATGGATAATGCATGTTAAGAAAACCTCACTGCCCCATCTAACATAAAATACGACCCTTTGTTGCAGGACTTGCTCACATTAGCTCAAACTCAACTCAAATATCTTCGGATTGCGTGTTTATTACACAATATAACGGCCATATGTAACAAACAAAGAATACACAATAAAAAAGAATGAAATGCGTATTTGTGTGATATGAGTGTGTGGTTATAACGATATGTTGCTGAATAAATACGAAATAAGAAGGCGAGAGGATGGAGTATTTTTGCGTGAATAAGTTATTGGAAGCCTGCAACGGCAAGTTACAGTGCGGCTATTTACAACGACGGTGTAAATTTCGGGGCTTTGCGTGTGGATTCTGAGAGGACAGAAAAATTATGAAAAAAAAGCGGAGAACGGAAATTGGAAATCGACTGGTCGATTCGCATCAAGGCGCTGAAGTTGGACAATAAAAATCGGAGGCTAAGTTCTAATGGGATTTACAATATGTGGACTGAAAGACAACGATCCGAAAGAACGTGTGAAAGTGGGAGAGGGCAGAGAAAGAGAAAGGAAATTACAATTGAAAGGCAGTTTGGGGAAAGATTTGAAAGCTCAGAGAAGTTAAACTAAGGGGATCACTACAAAATGGGAGGCTGAAATTAATTTCAAGGAATCTAGAAGTAATTAAAATCAGTTACAAAGTATGTCCAAGGATTGAAAGACGAAGGTCATTTCGTTTGTAAGGGATATTGCACAAAACCGGCCGCAGGGCGAGAGAATTGTATAAGACTGGACAACGGATCCTTGAAGTTCAAGAAACCCAGATTTCAGTCGACGGGAAATTACAGTGCGCTTGATTTGCTGAACGATCAGACGTGGAGACTCAAGGAGAAGCGGCGACAATACGAACATATAACCAACGGGTCAATAACTCAAGTTTTAGAGGACCAGCCACTCGGAAATTCGAAAAGATTGGGGCCAATTCAAACCGCCGCCCCAGAGAGTCGCCAGATTCCATTTTCTATGGCAGATGGCGTCAAAAAGTAAGGCACTGTGGAAATTTGCACAGGAAATTTTTGAAAACAATTCGAAAAATCATTTTCACAGCACCTTATAGTTGACAAATTCAAGATTCAAATGATACACAACGACTACAGCAAGACGATACCATTCTTGGGGAGAGAGTACAGAGGAGAGTGTCCAGCACGCGCACAGAATAAGTTACTAAACTATAACCAATGGGAATAAATACAAAGGAGATGAGGGACATCTGCAGAGATTAACGAATGAAAACAACAAAGGGTTAAACAGTACGAAGAAAGTCGAACGATGCTTAAAAAGAGGGCCGATTACAATTTAAATTGTTTTCCAAAGATAAGTTTTGATAAAAAAAGTTGGATACTAAAGACATCTACAATATTGCACTATGCAAGAAAAGTTTGTACTAGATATAGGAAGAGTGTGCTGCGAGGTTACTGTAAGATGCATAGATGGTTTTTAAGTCGCTACCATACTGATGATTTTCTTCAAATATTCAAATTCCATTGCCATCATAATTTTATATGTTGTTGTAGATTGATGGCGGATCTATTGGTAGTTCCGAAGGCCAGATCGAGCGCAATACATGATTACATTCCAGTTAGATAAGCAGACAAGATCTTGTTGATGAACATGACCAATTGTCTCACGGTCCGATGGGATATAACACATTCGAAGACATCTAAAAATTGACCATTAAACACCATGACAAAAGAATTTTTTGGTTTTATAATCTATGATAATTTCAAAACAACTATTGGCTAATTCTCTTACCTATCGCCAACTCCCAGCTCCGGATTGGCCAAATTAAGCGTCTCGCAGCATTGCCGGTTGTCTTTTGCCTTGTTTGCACAGTGCAAGATGGTCGATATCCATTTCAAATCACAGCCCTCGTGTTGAACTGCGTTTATGAAATTGCGAGCAGCCACCTTCTCACGATGTTCGTATGTACACAGCGAATGACATGAGGATGGAATTTGGCCTTTACAACAAGACAAAAACCTCTCGTCCGCGATCTCTCGTTCCACACATGGTGCGAATGGAGGTGTCGCGTGATCTGTCCCGCAATGAGCTTGATGTTCATTGTCAATGACGTTGCGAGCACTCGAGAGAATAGCACTGTCGACAAATTGAGCAGGTGCAAGCCGTTGAGGGGCTTCGCCATCGAAGACTTGGGCAACTGGCTCGAAGGTGTTGTGGACATGAGGAGCTTTACGGTCTTTGGATTGAGATAGGAGTGGTTGGGGATGGGGACTTTGCCGAGGAATTGTTGGGGCTGAAGCAGCGTGGGCATGGAAAACTGGTTCATTATCAACAAAAGGACGTCGTCTTCTTGGAGGAGGAGAGACTGGAGATTGAGTTGTAGTCTAAAACTGGCATAAATTAGATTACAAAATGTTAAAAATGAAGAGTAATTATCAACTATGGATATCCTCTTACCTCTTCTTGTTTTTCCAACTGCGCCAACTGTTCCCAAGGTGATGGTAAAGATGTAGTTGACGATATTACAGTAGGAGTAGTAGAAGCCTCTTCTCCAAACAGTTTTTGAAGTTTATAAGGACACTTCTCCTCAATATAAGCTCGACAGCCCTTAGGGCAATTGGTGGCAATCCGATCGATGCAGCAGAGCACCCGCGGGATATCGGAACAACTTGGCAGCGGAGGAACGGCGACTATTTGGTGGAGATTACAGGAGAATACGAAGAAAATAATCAGTCGAGGCAGTCGACTCATGATAATATACAATGATGTGCGGATATGTAGAAGAAAACAATTGAATTGCGGTCGGCGGTGGAGATCGTTCGACTTTTTTGACTGTTAATTTAGTTTTTGAAGAGTCCGTAATCACTGGACGAACAACCACAGTTCTGGAGGTATGAGGATCCGAAGCCGAAATTCTGAAATAAGCAAAATTTAGAAACTTTTTTATAAAATCTACTGTGATACGGGCATATTTTACAATGAAATTGTGCAGTGACTAATCGAGAAAACTTAAAAACACCTCAAGTCTCTACGATCATTTTTACGCACTACAAATGATTGAAAAAAATGCCGACGTAGTCTCAAATCACGTATGCCCAAAATGCCCCACTCTTCCACTCCGAAATATCGAAAAAAACGTTTCGAAAGTCAGGAAGAAGCCTTATATACACGCGGGAAGACCCGCTAATTCGATGACCGACTTCCCGACGACGGTCGTTTTGATTAATGTAAAAAATCCGGAGACTTTGTGGATTCACCTGGATTAGTGAAATCAGCGAAAGTCGGATCTCGAAACTTCATTTCAATTCCCTTTCATCTTTAAAGTACGCGCGTCGCCATAACTAGGGAACACTTGGCCATTTTTTAAAATAAATCGCGCCGGGACCAAAATTAACTTGAAATCGTACGTGTGTACGGTAGAAAAATAATTTTTCTGCGGCTTGAGCCGAGAATTATTTGTTGCGTTGTTGACGAATTGTCGGATTCGTGGATCAGTGTCTTTATAATTTGTATAAATAAATCGTTTGTGGTTCGTGCATATTTAGCTGTATTTTAGATTTTTTTTAAACGAAAACTAATGTTTTCGGTCCGAATTTTAGGCAAGAAACGTGAAGACGAGGTCATCTACGGGTTCACGTGCGTTGATGAGTACGATGTCCGGCAACGGAAGGAGTTCGATGTAAAGTAAATGCTCCGCGGAAGTCTTGAACTCCATGAATTCGAATAGGAAAAGCACAATTTTGCAGAAAAAGGTCAAGATTCAGAGAATCATGAAGGATCAGACTTTTGTTGGCTAGTTAAACATGGGATAGATATATCGGTTCCAAGAAAAATTTGGAGATCAACCCTGACCACCTCACCATGAAGTAAGTTCAATGTTTTTGACATTGATTACTCGGTTTTAGGATCTCTGCGAACGTGTCAAAAATGACAAGGTCCTGGAAGGGCCCGCCTCTCGCTCCAACAGAATCTCACGCATGATCAAGTGGTCTGGATCTTGATGAAGCCGGTGCCGTCGCAGAGTTCACATGCCCCAGTGGAGACTTATATAATGCGTTGAATAATAATATCAAAAATAAGCATTCTGAAGGTTAATAAATTTATTTTATTATAAATCTTGATTCTGAAAAAGTTGGAGGGAAGAGGGCTTCGTGCTAATCACAGATAATCGGGAGGCAAACAGAAGAAGGTGCTGTAGTGGGCGTTGTGTTATTGGTCGACGTGAATGCTGTCCAAAAACTGAAAAATTCAAAGAAAATAAGTGGATAATGTCGGAATTTTATCAATAAATGGTTCTTCAGTCGAAATTTAAACTGACAGAAGAGAATATGAGAGAGCTTGCTCATGTTTTTTACAGCTTCTTTTGACGATAATACTAACAAATCATGGATAAGATAGCATTATTCACGAGGAGAAAGAAAATCCGACAGATTTTGAAAAAAATCACAAAGAACAGATAGTAAACAACTTTCTCCAACGGTCCCTGAGCTCTAGAAACAAGTGAAAATAGATATAAAACAACTTACTGAGATAAATCCACCGCGATATCAAACAACAAAATTTCCGGCTGCAGCCGCGAAAAAATTATTTTTCTACCGTACACACGTACGATTTCAAGTTAATTTTGGTCCCGACGCGATTTATTTTAAAAAATGGCCAAGTGTTCCCTAGTTATGGCGACGCGCGTACTTTAATTTCAATTTCAAAATTTTCATTTTTTTTCATTTTCAAAACCTTTGCATTGGTTGTGCCTAAAACAAGAGCAGAGCCCAATTAAGACCCCGAAAAAGAAGGTTATGACCTTCACCGTTCCCGGCGAGTACTGTACTTTCCTCCGATTCACCTTGAAATTTTCGGGATGTTCCACTTTCCGGGTAACCTTGACCACGACGAAATTGGGACAAATTCTGCGGAAACTGGAGAAAACGTTTCACCAAAAGCCCGCATTTTCGAACTTTTTTTTGCTGATGCGTTTATGAAGCCCTCCTCTGACCATGACCCGGTTTTTGTTTTTGGTTTGCCGAAAAATGTTTTCGCTTCGAAAGATTTCCGGGGGCGCTTTCGGGGCCGCGGGGGTGATCGAACGGACTTTGTGGAGCTCAAGGAAGAGGTGAAAAGTCATAAATCTTTGATTGGACAAGCTGCAAAATTTCCTTCCCCTTCTGGATTTTTATGTCGTCACTTTTCGTAAAATTAAAAAAATTGCGTCTAAAGTCCTAAAATCATCTAGAAGTTGGAGTAAAAGTGCAAAAAACTAACCTCAAAAACATACCGATGAAGATCCATTGCTGCCAGCGCCAGTGAGTCCGCCGAGACCGGCACCACCGCCGATTCCGGCTCCAGCTCCGACTCCAATACCGGCTCCGATTCCGCCGACTCCGCGTGTGGACCAGTTGGAGCTGCCTCCGTGTGATGCGATTGCGAGTCCGCTGATGCCGGCACCGCCCACCGAGTACGAGCTGGATGCAGAGCCGAGGTCGGAGAGGGCCAAGCCGGTGCGGGGAGATTGGGGTTCTGGGAGAGTCATTCTGTGGAGTTGTTTTTGTTCTGAAGATGCGAGGAAACTAGACGGTTCAACAAGACTGTTGTTGAACTCTACGATTGGGTAAACTGATGGGTTATTGCACAGTGAGTTGGGTTAAAGCGTCGAGTTTGATGTGAAAGACGTTGGGGTGTTCTGAAATAGCCGAGTAAAGAGTGTTGACGACACGTGACGCGGTAAACACACGCAGAACAAATAATTGGTCTTTATACATCACTTATCACTGAGTGACTCCCACGTCGGAACAAATCACTCAAAAGGATTATTTTTGTCTATAAAACTCAAAAAAGAATCGTTTTCGAACAAGTCAAAGCCAAGAACACACAGAAAAGACTTGTATATCAAGTACAATATTGCAGATGGCAAATCCCAACTAACATCTGAGTTGTGCACCCGATCCCACTGAATCCTCAGACTAAAGTCCCCCCGTCCCCAACTGACCTATTTCGGCACTTTTAAAACTGTGTCGAATTCATGTAATCCTCGGACCCGCCCCTCCTCCGACTCCGCCCCTTTTTTCTCTCGCACACTCAGAGCCGTGTTGTCGACGCAAGAGTGAAAAAAGTGACCAGTCCGTCTTTTTATAACCGCAAATCCACATCGAAACCTTGCGCCCCGCCCACTTTTGCAGTGCTTTTTGAGGATTGTTCGTGTGTTGTGTTCCAGAGAAAAGAATGCAATTACGATGACATAACAAGGGCTAAAAATAGCTGCGAAGATCTGAGATCGGATAATTTTGAATCACAAAAGACTTGAGTGGACAATGAGAGGGATTGGAACAATGCTGGGAACGGTGTTCGGAATGGCAAATTGTAGTTAATTAGAATATCCAAGGCTAGAAAAAGAGTAAGCTGAAAACAGTAGACCATAGTTGCGTAAATCTCAACAAACAGTATAACAGATTTTAAATTCATGCAAATTTTGAATATTTAAGAGCACAATACTTTGTAGACGTCTAAATTCAAAAAAATCATGGCCTAAAATCATAGAAAATTTTATAAAATTGACAATTTTGCCTCTAGAAATCTCAGCAATCGTATATTCAACGAGATTTCCCAAAGTTTTCACTTGGAGCCGTCGCTGTCGACGAGAACAATAAAAAAACAAAAATCTCGACGAAAGACTGCGGAAATCCGCACCTGATAATCAGGTATTTAAGTGAAGATCAAGGGGGAGGGCGCGCCAAAAATGGTACGGACTGGTCCGTGCGGGCGCGACGGGGCGGGTGTCAACTGCCGCCGGCGTCATTAGTCAAATTTATTATTAATTAACAACCCGACTACACGGGCGTGGCGATTTATGGGGGTAGGTGGTTGTAAGGGCAGAGGGAAGATGTAGTTGGGGAGTTAAGAGGAAGGAAATCTGTGGAGACCGGGGAATGGCAGCGAGGTGAGTCAAGTTCGTGTTGAGGAAGTAGATGAACTGGGGGAAGCTCAACTTGTTGGGGAAAGATTTAGCATAGGCTGCAGATCTGAAGGAGTATGTGGGGGAAATTTTCTTGATACGTCATCCGAAAAATCTTTTCAAAGCTGGGTTTTTGCGTCATTGCTAAATATCGCCTAAAATCACACCTTGTGAACACAAAATTTTTTTGCATGCAATTTTTGCTCATGCACAAAACTTTTGCTCTCGGCGAACCCTTGCACTTTCAAGCACCGTAATAAACGCATCTATTTTTTACACTGTGCAAGAACGGGTCGATGCGAAACGAATATTAATGACAGTGTTCTACAAAATTTACTTTAAGGTTTTGTTTACAAAACTAGACGGCGGCGTCAAGGCACGTGGAACGGCACGGAGAGTGGTCCGCTCGCCTTGACCGCGATCGCGACCAAAGCCATCAATGGAATAAATACGAAAGAGTTGGCTGAAAACGACAATCATCAAGGGTGGGGGGTTTCGCGGAGCCCATAAGGAAGAAGTTTTGTAGCTGGCGAAGGAACAGACTTTCACTGTGCGGCCTATTTTTTGAATGGTGAAGTTACAGAAAGGTTCGGGTTGCAAATGCAAAAAGAAAAAAGTCAACGAATAATGTGAAATGTAAGAAAATTTACAATTGAAAGATCAGTTGGTCACTGATTTTTTGCGGCTCCGCAATGCAAATTGTGAAAATTGGAACAATAAAAAGAGCTCTGATCATAAAGAAGATGAAATACAGGAAAAATAAAGAATATTTTCAAGTATTAAGGCAGCAATGACATGACAAAAGAAAAAAATAAAGTGTAATGTTGCCAAAGTGATCGTGAAGCCCTAAAAATCTCTGATATTCCGTTCAATCCTCACCAAACCCAATGAACATCTGAGCCTACAGATGCCCGAAGCAATGTAGCCGCAGCTCGAGGCGCGTTGGGTTGGAGATCCCGCTCGCGCGTTTAGCAACTTTCGCCTATTGTTAATGAGTCTCGACTGACAAAAAGGAGAAAAGGAATCAATCCGAAAATCGAGTCCGAAGACGAAACGCTTAATGAGTTTTCGACGGGAAAAAGAAGGAGGGGGGAGGGGAAAGAACAAGATAATGATGATCGAGTTGATTTTGAGTTTCAGGCTGTTTGTTTCCAACTTTGACGCATCTTCAGACGTCTTTCTCGCAGACGCATTCACCGAGTTCGTTCCGAGAAACAACAAAATGCATCGAGAACAGCAACAGAGAAAGAGATATGGGGACAACAATGGAAATGAGAGGGGATCGACATTGTGTGGCTGGATGATAAATGTTGGTTTAAGCGATCAGAGGTTGCGAGGAGGAAGAGGGTGCTCGGAGGAGTGTGAAGTTGAAAGTACTGTAATTTGAGCAAGTTAATACCTAAATTTGAACTGCTAAATAAGTCAGCGTGTACTTGGAGTGCGTCTAGAAAACAGTATACAGCCTAAAGCTCAGACTTTGACAAAAATGGTTTGCTTTGTGGATTACAACCTCCCAAAGAAATATGTAGAGTTATCAGCTCGCAATTTGAGCGAATCATTACGATCTTTAGGTATAATATAAAAATTATAAAAATCACCTGCTTAGACTACAAAGAAATAGAAAATGCCTTGAATATGACAAAATTGAAGCACAGTGATACTCTTCTCTCCTTGTCCGTCTTCTCACCAAAGGAATTTCAAAAATTTGTTTTTTAACTCTATTTTTACTGTATTACAACACTACTGCTTATCAATAGCTATTATACTTTAAAGACAAACATTTACTCACCATAAAAAATATTATACTATAACTATTCCTTCCCCCTATTTACTATCCTCAATTTTTTATAATAAGAATTACATTCCCGGCTCTAAAATCGGTTTAGTTTTGTAAAAAGTAGTCATGTGTTTGTTTCTTTTGTAGGTGAACTTTACAATACTTTGAAGGAGCCAAAGGGCGTGACAACGCAACTCGTCGGCGATTCAACTCCATCAACGTGAAAGTCGAAAAAAAACGCAAGGGATTTTTAATTCGAGGTCTGGAAACCGGCTCTTGTGCCATCGTTGACGCGAGCAAGAACATGTATTATATCATCGCTTACACGCGACTGCAGCTCGGATTCATAATGGGGATTCACCGAACGAACGAGGCGCCAACGCAAGCGGGGGATTCATGAAGGGTACGGTAGACAGAAATACGGCTCAAACAGTATGATAATACAGGGTAAATATACGTAGTTAAAATAGGCTATGGCTATCAACTTGAGAACTCATTTTTCGCTGGTTTTGGCGAAATCTACGCGGCGTCACTTCCCTTTCAAAAATTTATAACAAAAATTACCTCAGGCAAATGAAGGATGCCTCAACGATGCCATCTCATCAACAATGAATGAAACGCCGATTTCGTTAACAAAATCTCTGTTATTGATAAAAGCGGGTATTTTAAAAAATCAATGGGACTCCGCCCACAAATTGAGAGATATTGCACAATCACCACGCCTTATAAATATGAAGGTACGAGAATGTGATTTTCATGGGGATACAATGGAATGTGCATTATTCTGAGAAAAGATGGGCAAGTTGAATATGACAATGAAAATCCGTGAAATTTTGGGGTTTTTGGCAACTTATTGGTGAGAGAGGTAACTATTTACAGTACTTAATAATAAATACAAGACTAAGTGATAATTTAACCGATTTGTACACTGCAGTAAACATTTTTCTGTATTAATGCAAAAGTTCTGAGCTCTTTCTTTCTATTGATTTTTGATGACCAAACAAATGACGTCACTTCTCACGTTAAGCGTATCTGCTTCATTTCCACGTCGTCTGATTTTTCTATTCTTTATCAATCGCCAATTGCAGCATTCCAATTTGGTCAGAGCCCAAGAGATCGCTGCAAATCCCCCTCTGCAAACCCCATTCTCTCCTCCTCAATTCCCTCCGGCGATAAATCGTCGACGAGCTCGGGAGCCCTCACCACAAGTCGACGTCCACAAAACAAATGGCTGAGCAAAACTTCCGGTTCCTAACTTCCTCTTGACTCGATATTTGGGATTATCACTCGATCCTCATTCTCTCCCCCCTCCCGCTGGAAACCAACGACAGAAACTGCATTCTCATGGCAGATGAAGCGGGTGGGGAATCCTGTCAGCGAAATCGAGGAGGGCAAAGAAGCCTCAGGTGCTACAGATCGAGCTAAAGGGAGAGTTGAGATTCAGAGTCATCAAAGACAGCCGAAAAGATTACAAAATGCCTCAAAAGGACTACTTTGAAACGCATTGTAAAAAATTTTTTATGAAAGTGGTGCCTCATGTGCTATTTTTCTGATTTTGATTAAATTTATTCCTAATTTTCATACCCTCCGTCTCAAAATTAAGTTGTGTATGATCATCAATGGTTGACTATGATTCTGAGCTATCAAAACCTTCAATTCCCTAATCCCCGGGAATTCCCCCGCCCTCAGAGCTCTCCAGATTTCCCTGTCTTTTTCCCCCGAGGCTCGCTTTCAACCTCCGGGATCGAGATTGCGTCGCTGCCATCCCTCCCAACTCTCCTCCATCGTCAATCATCCAACGACG